TATAAGGAGAAGTAAAGGCCAAATACAACGAGGAACTAAGAGTCAGGAACGTTCAAAATTCCCAGTCTTGAAGCCAATATGAGGTTGAAATTCAGAAGCTGAAGGAGCAAGGTAAAGCAGCAGAACGCCTGGGAAAGATTCGGACCCGAGAAGAGAAGTTCCACCAGTTATCGTGCAACCTGCTGTCAGTGAATAGCAAGGTCGAACCGAGAATGCAATCGGACCGCCCGCCTCAGGGGCAACCGGAGCCTCTGGGGTGATCTCCCAGATATTGACAGATTCAGTGACGGCTCAAATGGCCCAGATATACGAAGTGATTCAGAAGTTGAGTCAGAATCAAGCTGAAATTGACGCTCAATAACATAGTCAATCATGGAGGCAGAATGGCAGAGTTCCCACCAAAGAAATAACATTGTCTGAGAATAAGACCGGACAGTCCAAGAAGCCTGGAATAACCAAGGGAACATATCCAGCACACCCAGGGGCCCAAGAGACGGTGATCCCGGGGATGTAGATTTTAGTGACTGATCTGAAGATGAGTTGGATGGTCAATTTGGCCAGATCTCTCAGAAACTACTCGGACCAATACGAGTTCGGGAGTGCAGTTACGGTGCAACGTTGATCCCGCATGGCGCGTTGGAAAACCTTGACGAACATGCTATTCTGAAAGAGCGTATGGACTGGTGGGGGCGGTTCATGTATTATTCCATGATGGGATCCTGGGATGACAGCACCCGAGTAGGGTAGCTACGTATGAGACTGTCAAGTGCGTTAAATGATTGGTGTACCCAGCTGCCAAACGAGACCCAATCCAACTGGATGGCTCTTGCACATGTTTTCAAATCGGAGTGGTGCCGTTCAGTGGAATCTAAAGGTGAAAGATATTACGGGATGGACATGCGAGATCAAGAAACTCCCAGAATGTTTCTGTGTCGGCTCAAAAAGGTCGCTAAGAATGCCGGTATCCGATTTGAGAAGACAGTCTCCGAACGCGAAGCCCATATTCGCCAGTTCTTTTGTGCGCTTAGTGACAATCGTTAAAGACAGCTTTATAAGAACAAGCGTTTGAGAATATGGTGCAATTGAAAAGACCTTGAAGCGGATTGAAGCTTTACGCTGAGATGAAAACTAAACGATGCAACAGAATAAGAATCTAGCTCAGAACCTACGGTTTGGTCGGTTCATATCTCAGCAGCGTCGTGCAGAAGGAAGAGCTTTCATAACCAATAGTGCGGAAGTTGAAGCGGAGTCTGAGCAGTATTCTCAGCCTAAAGATGATACCAGATATGAGACTGAAGTGGAAACTGAAGAAGAGATTAAGGCTCCGCCTATGGAATGCTCAGAACCAATCCAAGTCGGTGTTATTCAGGTAGTGGAGACTGCTCCTGTGAATTCCCAGTGTGTGAGGGATGAAGCGATATTCCGCCTGGCGGAACGACTAGCTTGGAAGCTTGGAAATGGACAACAACCAAACTGAGAAAACAATTCTTATATGAACCAGCGGTGTGACGAGTGTGGTAGTAATACTCGCTCAACTGAGAAGTGTTGGAGTAAACTGATTTGCGGTCGATGGTGCGAAGAAGGACATCATACATAATTCTGTCCACACCAACCGTGTCCAAGTGTGGCGTGTACCATCGCCGAGGATTCTGGTCGGCCTTTAAAGATGTTCGCTACGTTATCAGCGTCGGAGAATATCTGGAAGACCTCTCCCCGGAAGTAGTACAGAACCTTTTGTTGGAACGTCCCGGAGCCGTTAAACCGCTAGGCTCGCTGATTGAGAAATCAGTTCGCGTCGAGCCGACGTCCTCAGAATACTGCGCATTTGCATATGTGGGCCACACCCTTTCATGTAGGTGCAGTAATAACCTCAATTCCATGTTCCCCCTAGATGAAGAACGTGTTTTATCTATCAATCCTGACGCAGAAAACCGGATATCAGCTGAGAACGCTAAGAATCCTTTGGGCTTCACGCTACAACCCGGTGGAAAGTTCGGTTGGCGGAATGAGCATGTTTTGGTGGAGGAATCAGGGGAAATGGCAATTGTACATGGGGCTATGTTCGGCACACGAGTACAAGTACTTTTGGATTCCATAGCTACTATAAGTATTATAAGTTTTGACCTTGCACGCAGGTTGATACTGAGCCTTAATTATATGGACGAGCTTCGGATTCTGGGGTATGGTGAAGAAACCGACTTAAATCTCTGCCAAAGGCCGGATTGAACTGACTCTGGGACCTCGAGTGGTGTATGTACTCGATGCCGCGGTCGGGAATATCGGGGCTGGAGAAGATTATCTTCTCGGAATGGATTTTATAATGTCTGCAGGCATGAGATTGTGTGTACATGAAGGAGCAGTCAAACTCCCGGATGAAGAATCGTTGTTGCTAGTTGATGGACCTGGATTTGAAAACTTGGGAATGGACCTTAGTGTTTGGGGTTAAAGATACAGCATGGTTACGCCCGGGAGAACATCTTGTTGTGCCAATCCAATATGGTCCACCCAACCCCGAATTCTTAGAGTGTTGGACCGGACACGGCGAAACGTTGGTCACTCGTTTCATCTATGGAGTGAATCGAAGACCCAAGGCAGTCAAAGCAGTGAATATTTCTAGTTCGATAGCCACAGTATATCGGAATACCGTAGTGGCACACGTGATGGAAAAGAGATATCTGTCTAGTGAAGAACGCTTTGTACGGCCCTCTTCCAGGAAGTACGGCGAGTGGGGAACACTAATATACGAAGCTGAACCTTTGTTGGTGCTCCCTGAATACGAGGGAGGGGAGAAATTATGGGAAAACTTCGAATCTGTGCCCTCCGTGAAACGACCTGTCTATCCCTGGCCTAAGAAGATGTTGATGAGGAGGATAGCATTATCCTCGTGTGAAGGTGAGTGTGGTTCAGAAGAAGAAGCTCCCGTACGAACCGAATCTGAAACGGATGCGACCTTTGGAAGCGTTTCAGCACCAAAATGGCCGATAAGTGGGGAACCTCCGACCATGATGGGAGTGATTTTAAGTGATCTCAAAAATAAGTTGGGTACCTCCCGGAATTGAAGGATCTAAACCCTATTGTGGATCTAGGCACTGCTAATATTGGTGAACCCGAAAAGACTACCCAAGGAAAAGATGCTAGAGTACAAGGTATTTTGGAAAAGCATCATAAGATTCTTCTAGGAGACGGGAATGCAGTGCCTACACCGGCGAGGGGAGTCGTCTGTGGTCTGGATGTGAATTATTACATGAAGTTGGAGCTGAGGGAATCAGAGACAAACCTAAGGTTGCGAAAGGTGTCACGAATCTGCCGTTCCCAACCACCCTCAAAGGTGTACAATCATTTCTCGGAAGCCTTTTACTACTACAACAAGTTCATAGAAGATCTCTCGGTAGTAGCAGCTGTCCTATATGAGTTGGTAGACGGGCAGATTTGAATGGACAAACATTCGGAACCCACAAAGGAAGGTTTTGACATTCCCAAGCAGAAATCGTCTCCACTCCACTATTAAGACATCCGGACAGGAAGAAACCAAGGATTTGCGTGTAGAATCACAATGAATGGTTTCTTCCATTCATTATCATTCTACACGCAAATCATTGGGCAGTGAGGGCTGTGTTGTGCCAAGAATACGATGGAAAGACATATCCGGTCCGATACACTGACAGGGTACTGCACGATCACGAATTGGATATCACCCGGCAGAGAAGGAAATAGTGGAATAACTCCGGGTTCTCAGAGTATTCTGTCCTATATTAGTTGGCAACGCCACTTTGAAGGTGTATACGCGCTATTCGGTTCTGGGATGGATATTCAAATCATAGTCCTGGGAAGGCCGTTGTGAGCAATGTGCGGCCAGGCTAGCACCCTGGCCATTGAAAGCACACAAGATCCAGAAATACGAGGATATATTAGCGTCAATTCTGGTAGCCGGAATTACCCCACGTAACAAACTCGATCAAACTGACGAGAATATCATCCCAACAAAAGGCCGAGTAGTTAGAGCTCCTCCTATTAGCCTTGAGATGTTGGAGACTGACAACGAAGGATGGCACCTCGGTTTTGACGGTTCAGCTAGGACCTCGGATCGCCTAGGAAGATCGGGGTTTATGCTCTGAAAGTTACTTACTTGGAAAGTAGTGGTAGCTCGGGGTTTCCACTTTGAAAGCATCACAGTAAATTAAGCGGAATATCACGGTATGATTGAAGGTTTAAAGATGGCATTGGATCGGGGAATCCGGGAATTGATTGTCGTAAGGGATTCTCGTATAGCTATTCAACAAGTCCAGGGACCTATTCAGTCCCTTAATCCCGAGTTGCTGTTGTTGCATGCTTAGATTGAAACTCTGCGCAGAGAATTCAAGTCTGTGCGCCTAGTACATGTGAAACGGGAGTATAATGCTGCCGCTGATTAAGTGACTCGCACAACAGCCTTGCCTTGGTACTTCGTGGAAATTATGGATGCGATTGAGTTAGCTCAGCTGAAACAGATAAATAGGATACCCGAAAAGCCGGTGAAACAAGGTACTTTGGAAGACACGAAGTCTGGGAATCCGGTCATGAGACCGGAAGGATTGACACCCTGGAAAAGCAAAGGGGGACGGGGCGTGTGAGCTTCTGTTTGACAATTCCCGAATCCGAATTAGTAGAAGTCCCAGCAAGTCAACTGATCCCATCTTCTCGGATATGTGTCGCTGTAACAAGAAGTAGAGCAGGAGCCTCACCACGGGCAGATCCAGGAATTTCTGAAGTTATGATAGAAACACCGGATTCCGGGACGTCTGAGAATAATATGGAACCCAGAGGATATTTACCTGAAGGGACGATACCTGCGATGGCGATAGTCGAACGTTGGCGACGTTTTCATATCCATCAGCAGACTGACCCGTGTATCCCTCGCCTCACTACTTAGTTGCGTAGATACCTAAGAAAACTCTCAGCTGCTGAAGGGGAAGAAGCTGCAAAATCACTGATGAGTTTGCGTTAGATTCCCGCTAAGTATTATGCTACCGAAATCGGTCGACGCTAATGAGGCTCAGGGACGCCGAAGGTAATCTAAGTAAGACTCGTGGTCCCCAGGACACTCCAGAAAGATTTATTGCATCTGTGCCATGAAAATTTTCAAGGAGGTCGTCAGGGAATCCATAGAAATCAGGAGCGTTTACGCCGAGAATACTATTTGATAGGAATGAACGGGGTGCTGGACTCCTCGTGAGAGAATATAAAGACTGTGTTACTGCTAAGGGCGCACCACCGAATCCCGAACCACCGTCGCGTAATCTTCTCGCTACTAAACCGTTTGAAGCGCTATCTATGGATTCCATGACGCACCTGCCAAAATCAGATCAAGGCAACACATTCTTGCTGTTATTCCAGTGTGGGTTCTCTAGGTTTATCAGCTGTAAACCAATAAGTGATACTATAGCGCAAAAAGTTGCAGAAGCTTACATGGGTCGAGTATTTCAACGTTTCGGTGCTAGTAATATGGTCGGGCGTGACCGAGATCACAGATTCATAAGCGAAGTCTTCACGAGATTCCGAGAGATGCTGGGAAGTAAACAGGGAACACCCTTAGCTTACAGACCTCAAGTTAATGGTCAGCAGGAACGATCCGTGCAGACAGTACACTGAGCGATCCGAGCATATGTGGAAGAGCCAGACCGGAGTGACTGGGACGACCAGGTCGAGAAGTTGATGTGGGATTTAAACACGTCCTTCGACGCTACACGCCTAGATACTCCGTTCTACTTAAATCACGGCTGGGATCCCCAAAATACTGTGAGTACAAATCTGGGAAAGACACCGACACGTTTTGAACAGATGACGGCAGTGGAGGAGAAAACTCCAGCGTCAGTATGAGTACGCTCATGTTTGGGCTAAAAGTTTGCCAGCAGAAGCCAAGTTGAAACGATCTAAAGCTCACACTCAAGTGTGGAAAGAATTGTCAGATAGGCTCAAGGTTTCCAAGTAGGAGACTCGGCGTGACTATACCTGGCTCGAGTACAACCTGGGTTGAGCAAAACAAATAACTCATCCCTGGCACAACCCTTTCAGAATCCTTGAGGTTTCAGATGATTTTCCCTGTAAGCTTAAGATCGAAGGCACCGCCTACAAGGTATATCCTTGGGTGCATGTGAGTAGACTCAAACCGCGTGCTTTAATCCCAAATTGACCTACCTAAGAGGTAGGAGTCTCAGACGACGATGAACTCGATGCTGCGCTGCTATCTAAAGATGTTTCTGAGCCCTATGAAGCCCAGCATGTGTATGAGGTGGAAGCGATCCAAGATGTACGATGGATGAAGAGAATTCGCACCTCTCGGAGGGTCCGAGAATACTTGGTGAAATGGAATGGATGGGCATAATTACAGTTACTAGTTTCCGAGTTGAATTGTGGAGCTTTACTTAATTAATGCAACAAGGGCGTCAAAGCACAATCAAGGTTTCGTGCGATGTACTCCTGTCGAGCTCTAGCTCGACAGGAGGGATCCGGATAAAACGAAATTATGCATGCGACCATGGCAGAAGGGACTGTGCATGTGTATTCTCCGTTTGTGCACGTTAAAGAAGTATGTAACGAGAATCAGTGAAGACTGGTGAAGAGTATTTTCGATCTGTGAAAGAGTTGTCTATGACCTGCTCGATTATATGAGTAGAAGCATTGAGTGTCAATACCAATTGACCTGTGAAAGAAACAGAAGTGAACTTGTGGAAATGAGAAGAACTATGGGAATTTCATTATGGAAGTTAAATGTAAAGTACTTAATGAACTCTGGGGTGAAACCCAAGACTGTCAACAATAGTCGGCAGAGAAAAAGGGGAATTATGGTGTTTGATATGGCGGTGGCGGATCTTCTGTGGTTCCATATTCAGATAGCAGTCATCGGAAGTGCGTGCGGTCCACTGAGTTCGAGCAGGCTCTATGCGATCAATGTCTTGCATTTGTTGGTCCAAAGGAATCCCTTCCTCAGGAAGACGTTGAATCTAATCACAAGGGTTCATTGGAACTACCCAGAATCCAGCTTCAAACCACACGATATCAGAATAGCCTTTGATCTTGGCTAAGGACGTCATGAGTTCATCTTTCGCTTTCATGAAGCTGCTGGTTCGTGCCTTGCGGTCGTTATACATGTGAATAGTCATGAGACGATGAGTCTTGTTCAGCCGTCAAAAGCGAGGATCGCTACGAACATCCGGTCAGCACTGATGGTGAGCCAAGGGGCTTAAACGACCAAAGAAGTCACCATGTTAGCGTTGATCCAGTAGTGATTCACCAATTCCTGAAGACGGGGCCTGTAACCCACGAAGTTACAATTTCCATGATAAAGTCCATCAGTGCAGCGAGCAACGAACTGACAGTGGTGAGCTCTGCTTCAGCCTTGTCCGCTCAAAATTTCTCAAGACCCATAGACATGAGGACGTCCTCAGCTTCCTTATCGTGGATGTTGCAGAGGTCTTCGCTCTCCTTGCGCCGCTTACGCAATTATGTGACCTCTGCATTCAAAGTAATGCCCTTATTGGTCGCTGCGGTGAGGTTTCGCTGAGAAAAATTGGCGATGCTACCTGCGTTGAGTTGTAACTGCAGGGCACGAACTTTAGCCGCATGATCGGCTCGGGAGTGATGCAGTAGGCCCTCAAGTTGCGCCACCTGATGCATGGGCTGCGTGTTACGAATTAGTGCTTGAGCTGAGCCGTTGAGAGCCCAAAATGCTGCACTTGGTCCAGTGTCAAACGCAAAAAACGCAATGTAGACACCACCCTGATCGCAAAACAGTCGGCGCCAAAGCAAAGCAACAGTGGGAAGACCTCACGGTCAACCTGAGCGCGAATCTGAGGATCGTGGAAATCTGAGACATCTGCAGTCGCTGCTGAAATGACAGCAGCATTTCTGAGGTCACTGGCATGCCAGTCAGACCGACCAACAAGACCTAATCCGAGTGGGAAAACACGGGGGAATTTGCATGACCCGCATTAGTCCAGCAGGGGCCTGCTCCAACTGAGCATGACTAGCAACGTCATCAAGCGAGGCAGGAATTCGAATCTGGGTAGGCATCGGAGCCGCGAACGTGCGCGAGAGGTGTACCACCGGCATTAGCCACATGTGTGGTCTGGTTGTATGGCAGTGTGGTGATCGCAAGTGGAGGGGTCCCACGCCAACGATAACGGGAGTTGGGAACGTGGCTGTCGACACCACCCCGCTCAAATTGGCAGGGGTTGGCGATGCCGACGTCTGCGCCATGGTGGCCGACGTTGTAGATGAAATCATCGGCGCTGAGGTGACCGAATGTGATGTGGGGATTGGCATGGTAGTTGACTCCTCAACGGAAGTGTCAATCGCAAGAGAAATGGTGGCGGGGGTGGAGACAGAGACAGCATTTGCAACCGTAGCTGCACTATCACCAGCACCCGAGTTCGCAGGCGTAGTTGGACGCGTGGGTAAAGGCGGAGCCGAAATCATGAGCGCAGAATGAGTATTGAAAGTGATGCGTGGGTACAATCGGCCGAAGTGACGGATCAATCGTGGCAAGTGACGAGACACCTAGTATTCAGACATGAGTGGAACCAAACTCGAAAGATGAAGGAATTGGCGTCTGGGACGAGGAGTAGCTTTGGATGACGACATCCAACCGTTATGCGTGTTGAGGCCCAACTCGAGAATGAACTCGCTGAGCTCAGCACACATTAGGAACGTTTGTGGTGGAGTGGATCCCAGAAAATTGGTGCTGGCATCACTAGTTGGTTGACCTACCCAAGTCAACTGACTCCATCGTCCCATCTAGAGTCCATCAAGGGGCTGAAAACGTTGGCTCTGTTGAAGTTGATGGTTGAATGTCAAGAAGTGACGAAAGTGGAAGATGTAACTAGACCAAGAGTCGATGGTTTGGCCTTGGCGGATGACGAGATGTGACTTCGAGGACAATATTCTTGACTGTGAATGGATGTATCTAGACTACTCACTCTCTATGATGAGTTAACGTCTATTCTTAGGGTTACTAACATGGCCATGGTTTGGTACGGAAGGGATTGAGAACGGAAGTGGAAAAATCTGATACTATTCTCAGACAATATCGGAAAGAGTCCTGAGCGACTGTGTGTCGACGGATGTGATTGTGAATGGTCTCGAGGTATCGGTAGAGAGTGTTCAAGTTGTCATCAACCTCCGAGTTGAGATGATTCCGAGATGTGGTGAATGTGACGGACTCCAGAATTGAGGCTGGTGTGAATACCCATACTATTCTCAGACCCGGTACGATATGTTTCGATACGTCGGAGACGAGATACAGTCTGGGAATTCTGGAATTCTTGACAGTATTAAGATGTATTCAAGGGTCCCACAATACGGTGGCATGACACAAGTCCTGAATTGGTTCCACGTTGAGGTTGCGTGAAAGGTCAGTTCGAAAATCCGGATCACATCAGGCACACCATGAAGAGTGGGCCATCTCAGATTGACGGAACACTTCGGTTGTGGTAATCCGACATGTTCTGACCGTCGTCAGTGTTCTATTTGAATTAGGCATGCTCCCGAAGTTCAAGCTGACTGCGCTTCTGTGATGAGCGGCTATATTCTCACCCTTCAATTTTTTTACTTATAGTTTGTAGCGGGACTGGCGCCCGAGCTATGTAGGTTCCCGTTTGCATGTGTTAAAACTTAATCAGAATTCATTTTGCCCCGGAGGATGCAGGAGAAGTCACATCGGTGAGCGTGCAGGCTTAGCACGTGCCCGGCATCGTCCTGAAGGTTAATCATCTTCACATTAAACTCAAGCCATTTTAGCAAGGTTAACCTATCATTATTGTTGGGTTAATTGAGTTATTTTATATTCTATGTTACGTGGACGCCTTTTTCGACAGGATTTGGATTGGTACTTCTGGTAAAGAGGTGACCTTCCATTGAAGCTCTCGCGGTATTGGTGTTTTGTCCCGACGCGAGACTTGGAGTGCATTATCAGCCATATTTAACTTTGACTGTTTTCGCCTATAATTAGGCGAGGTGCGCGACGTCCCAGGACAAATGGAGGTTCCTGTGATTGACGAGGTCCAAGGCGGACTAACTGAGACTTCCAGCCACTCTCGGATCGGAGAGGCGAGTGGCGATCCCTGAACGCGGTCCTAGTTCTGACCGCGCGGGGGAAGAGGATGAACTGTTAACGGCCAAGTCCAAGGCCGTGGAAGAGAAGTTGACAAGTGTGTGTGCTGTGTTATGCTGCATGTCAAGAAACTCGGAGCATTTCGAGTTCGTGTAAGCACATTCAGACTGGAACATGCGGGCTCAAGCCTAAGTCTCGCTCGAACAGTGTATTCTCGGATCACCCAAGACCAAGAGCAGTCACTGGGGCTCTCAGGTTTCTGGGCCCAAATCGTAACTGTAGCACGAAAGGATAAAAAAGGGATTCAAAAGAGAGGTTGTACACGCCATTCCCAGACCTTTGTGGGTCTGAGAATTATTTCTTTTGATCCAAACCGGTCATACCTGTGTGTAAGGTCACCCCTGCATCACATTTTTAGATTGCGATTCACTTTTCACAAGTGACACGGTTTCGATCCAGCGTAGTGTGCCTTCATTTCAGCACTCCAGCCCTTCTTTTCTGCGGAAACTCGCAAAGGTATCCATTGAACTCATTCCGTGTCGGTCCCAATCGCTAAAACATATTTGTCCGCTCGGCAAAATCATAGGCTTTTTTAATGGTTTCAGACTCGTCCGAATTTATATAGTGCAAAGTATCCGTGTGTGGATCCAATAGAATGCTATCCCCTGTGGCAATAATTCCAGCGTGCCTTGATCACAGATCGGAATTACCGGCGAACCCTTGCTCTCGTTGCAGCAGGAATAGAACCCCGGGGAACTGGTTCGCCAATATCTGATGTGGGTTGCCTACTTGACCACTTTCTGGAGGTGTCGGTGGACGATCGGAGTAGCCATCGGAACCGTTCATACACAAGTGAAGACTCCGCATCGTCAGACTCCAGCACACCCAGTGCCTCGAATATTGGATCAATTAAATCAACAGCATATTGGAGGCGTCCGACGCAACCAATACTTCCACGTCAGACGTTGAATAGCGACTACCTTACGTGTTGTGACGAGAGGCGCAGAAAAGGTTTTCCAGTACATGACGATTGATAAGTACGCTCTTGAGACACGAGTACTGAGAGTACCATCGAGTTGGCACAGGAATTGTTAATGGACATCGTACACCACCAGGTGGTATCATGGACACTTGAAGACTTCTGAATTATTCAAGAAGGCCGTTATGATCTCGTATCAGTCTGCTGATTTTGTATGCTTTCTCACGCACGTCGGAAATAAACTCAATTTCGGTGAAGGCCTTCTCCATGACCAAGTTAAGAACACGTGCAGCAC